ATGGGGTAAACAAGTCCGATAGTTAGTGTAATGGCTAGAATGAAAGTAATAAATGAATAAACGTAACTACTTGAGTCAGAAATCGGATTTTTGTTTATAAAATAAGATGATTCTTTAAGTTTCTATTTACAAATGCACAAATTTTACATAGAGTTAAATTCGAAGCAGATCTTAAAATTCATATAAAACGAACAAATGAATCACCTAGCCCCACATTAATTAGAAATAGCAATTTGCCTTCATGACGGCCTTTTGACATTTTATTAATTACCCAACTTACCTTCTCTGTAAGCAATTTATTAATTGTCTGAAGTTATGAATCACTGAGATTCGAGATTTCATTAAATTTTGTCGATCTTTCCAGTGGTGTAGGATTTCAAGACTTGATGACGAGGCAAGGTCTACTAGAATTTCTTGGTAAGCCGCCTTTCGTCATGGGCAGTGAGTGCTGTGGAAAAGTCATCGAAGTTGGTGAAGACGTCACCAAATTTAAGGTTAGTGTATACTACTTATATGAAATAAGCGCCCGATCAATGACATGATCAGTACTGCTTAACATGAACTTATATTTTTACCACATTTTTTACTAGTGCTTTATTCAATAACACCAAATACAATGGAATATAATTTCATTTCAAGGTAAAATGTTCTCTAAAAATCTTTTTTTCAACCAAATTTACTTAAATCTGAGAAAATTCTAGGACAAGAAGAATAGTCAAAGTTAAGATAGAAGATCATTATTTGGCTGAAATTTAAATGCATTGACTAGTTTATGGTAAGGAAAATAGCTTAAACTATTACCCTTCCAAGCTCATGCAAACTTCACCATCCTTGGAGAGGAGATTAATAGAAACTGTACATTCGCATATCGAGGTATTTGATTGGTTAGATGTCAGGGTAGTAAAAGGAAAACAGAAATGGTGAATGGGTAAAAATGCTCAAAACCAAATCTAAATCTGCTGGACATAAGAGAAATCCAAGGTAGAAATGAGAGAGTTTCAATGCTTAACAAGTAGAAAACTGGAGATGGAGAACTGCTATATGATATCTCAAAATAAGAAGAAAACATGAAGTATATATGTGATTTCTCAAGTGAACATAGACTAAGCCATTTCATCTTGCCCTTATTCACATTACTATATGACTAGTAGCTTTTTCGTTTCAAATTTATGTAGGTTGGAGATGAGGTTATTGTTCTCGTGGACAGTGGTGCCTGGACGGAGCACCTGGTTGTTAAACCGATTCCTGAGGAGCCGACAGAGGCCGACGGTGATCAGGCTGAAAATGCGAGTAATGGAGTTCCATTGGCTTTGGTGCTTCATAAACCCGATTCACTTTCGACAAATCAGGCTGCTTCTTTCCTCATGTCTTATCTGCCGGCCTATCTGCTATTGCATAATGTTGCTTGTGTTCACTCAGGAGATGTTGTTCTTGTTCATTCTGCTGGCGGTGGCATCGTAAGTGCATTCTACT